TACCCATTCTCCCATTTTTATTTGTCTTTTTAATATATTTTAGTTACATATATTTTATATACATATAAAGCTGTTGCTTCAGTTCCAGTTCTCATTTTTCATGAGAAATAATCCTTAGATTTGATTATTTATTTGTATCACAGATATTTGAGGGCTTACTCTGCAATGGGCTCTGATCTAGACATATGTACATAACATACTTTTTCTCATAAATCTTTCAGATTTTTCCTCTATATTTTGGTTTAATTGATATATTTGAGTTGATTTACAATTCTTATCTCAATCACATTTGTTTTCACCTCATATTGTTATCCTTTCATCTTTTCTTATTTTATTCTTAAGATGAGCTGCCTCTGTCTTTGTATTTTTTTTTTGAGAATACCAAAATGTTTTATGAATTAATTTCCTGAATCTTGCATTAAATAATTTTAAGAAGTATGTTCTGTCCCTGAATTTTTGAAATGAGTTTCCTGTCATTCTGCTGTATATTTTTCATAGACCTCATTTGTTTTTTTTTTGTGTGTGTGTTTTTCCCCCTCTGGAATCTCTATGAATAATAGCTGTGTTGACTCAGAGCTTGCCAAAGGATTTTGAGATTTGCTTCTAGCATTCTCCCCATTCCCTCCTCAGGTCTGCTGTTCTGTTCTCAGTCTGTGGGCTATTGTTTTTCCTTCTCACTGCCCCACTTCTTTTAGGAACTTCTCACCACTCTTCTGGGAGCTAACACTCCCCCACTCCACCAAAGTACCAGGTTCAGACCACATTCCCCCTTCAGGCCACTGTTAGGGAACCTGGCAGAGACTAGGCCATTCACTCTTTCATAGGCATTTTGAAATTAGACAAGGAGAAACCTGTTTCTCTCTAGTTCACTGAATCTGTAATACACAGTTTAGGAACTGTTCACAGCCATGCTTTCTATCATGTGGATTGAAGAAGTAGAGAAAGCTGATCTAGAGAGAGAAAAAAAGATGAATAAAGCAGACACACAGGGAGAAACAGAGACCAAAAGGGACTTACAGTATGGAAAGGTTCGAGGGGTGGAAAATAAAGAAGCCTGAGGTGTTGGATTGGAGTTTGGAAATATCAACATGACCTCGTGAACATAGTTTTGAATGTCCCTCAACTAGGATTTGTCTGATGTTTTCCTCATGGTTAGACAGAGGTTACTAGTATATATTTTGGGGAGAAAGACCACAGAAGTAAATTTTCCTTCTCATCATATCATCTCCAGCATACATACTACTTATCAACATGACTTTGCACTGTTGATGTTAACCTTGATCACCTGAGATAGTGCTGGAGAGGTTTCTCCAAAGTAATGTTACTCTGATTACCTCCCTTTTCATAGTCTTCCTTCCTTGAAAGGAAGTTCCTATGTATATCCATCATGTTCCATCTTCTCAAGGGAATTCTCTACATGGATCCCTTTGTCTTTTTGGCCTATTTTGGAGGAAAAGTCTCCAAGTTTGTATTTCAATTCTTACATTGAGTTTTTCATTTCTGGTATCATATTTTAAATTTCCAATATCTTCCTTTTTGTCCTTTCAATGTTGCTTTTTAAGATTACCTGTCCTGCCCAGCTGGTGTGGCTCAGTGTTTGAGCATCAACCTACGAACAGGAGATCATGATTGGATTACCAGTCAGGGCACATGCCCAGTTTGTGGACTCAATCCCTAGAAGGGGGCATGCAGGAGGCAGCCAATCAATGATTCTCTCTCATCATTGATGTTTCTATCTCTCTCTCCCTCTCCCTTCCTCTCTAAAATAAATAAAAATATATTTTAAAAAAGATTACCTGTTTTTATTTCATGGATGAAATATGTTCTTATATCTTGTTAAGTTTTTGCCCTACAACTCTTTTGTTCGAGTTGCTTTCATCTGTTTGTTTTGGCACCTGCCTTTTATATTATAGGTTTTCCTCAGAGATCTCTTCATATTTGGCTGTCACTTCATACTTGAGAATGGGTCATGGAAAGGCTACTGGAAGCCCTGGGTGAGAGGGCAGAGTTTATTTACTGTGGGTTTTACTCTAAGGTGTTTTGGCTGTGTCGCTTCATTAGGGAGCTTCCCAAATCAGTATGCTTAGGTCTTATCTCATGCTCTGAGTGGATTTCCCAGAGAAGGTTTTACCAATTTCCTTCCTGAAGAGTCATATGTCTGCTTGTCTGTGATCTCAATGCCAAAAGGGAGAATAAGGGTAAGGGCCTCAACACCGAGAACCTAAATTTTCATGTAACTCCCCGTTTTCATTATGGTACTCCCTCTTTCTCCCAATACGCAGTGATGTTCTTTGGTCCTAAGAGCCTAACTTTTACCTTCTTTGGTTAACAAATCTCCATTTTCTGGCAGGGTAAAGGAAGGAGCAGTCATCAGTGGCATCTAGAGATCTCGAAATCTCTTAGACTTTTCTCCTGATTTTAGCTCCACCTTTACTTCCCCTTCCCGCCCCATTTCCAGAGGTATCTGGTGCTGTTGGGTGTTTCATGATGTTAACTGGATTGTTCCTCTTATTTCTCCAGTTTTCTCTTAGTATTCATTATCTGCAGACTGCTTAATCAGTTACACATTCATCCACCTGCTCTCCAGCTTCCAATGTTTTGTTGTGTCATTCCTTTCCAGAATATTTGTCTTATGGAATAGGAAGAAGAGAATAATATATATGTTCAGTCCTCCATCTTTAACCAGACATCATTAAGACCTGTATTCTCACCCAGCTGGTGTGGCTCAGTGGTTCAGTTTGACCTATAAACGAGGAGGTCACAGTTGGATTTCCCATCGTGGCACATGCCCAGGTTGTGGGCTCAGTCCCCAGTAGGAGGTGTGCAGGAGGCAGCAGATCAATGATTCTCTCTCATCACTGATGTTTCTATCTCTCTCTCCCTCTCCTTCCTCTCTGAAATCAAATAAATAAATACACACACACACACACACACACACACACACACACACACACACACACACACACTAGTGGCCCGATGCATGAAATTCGTGCACAGGGGGAGGGATTCCCTCAGCCCAGCCTGCACCCTCTCCAATTGGGGATCCCTTGGGGGATGTCCAACTGCCGGTTTAGGCCTGATCCCTCTTGCAATCTGGGACCGCTGGTTCCTAACCGCTCAGTTGCCTGCCAGCCTGATCTCCCTAACTGCTCTCTCCTGCCAGCCTGATCATCCTAACTGCTCTCCCCTGCCGGCCTGGTTGCCCTTAACTGCCTCTGCCTTGGCCCCACTACCATGGCTTTGTCCAAAAGGACATCTGGAAAGTCATCTGGAAGTTGTTCGATCTAATTCGCATATTACCCTTTTATTAGTATAGATTGATTTCAGAGAGAGAGGGAAATAGAAACATCAATGATGAGAGAGAATCATTGATTGGCTGCCTCCTGCACGCCCCACACTGGAGATCAAGCCCACAACCCAGGCATGTGCCCTGCCTGGGAATTGAACTCTGGGCCCTTCAGTTCTCAGGCAGAGCCTCTATCCACTGAGCAATACCGGCCAGGGCTACACTTTCCCTTTCTGCTGGGACGTGTTCTGTCTGCTGGAGCTGAAACATTGAGGCTGTCTCACTGGGGCAGAGTGGGGTGCACTGGGCAGCTCAGGGCAGAGTGGGGTGCACTGGGTTGGAGCAGGTGGAGCCCCCTGAAAGCTGGAGAGGGGCCTCGTTTAACACCCGCACTGTTTCATGGCTGTGCTGCCTTGCAGTTGAGTGGCCACACTGTTGGGCTGTGCCACAGTCAGCAGGAGTTTACACAACTGAACTGTCTGCACGGATATCTTCCTCCTCACCACACCCCCAAGCTAGGGGTTCCTCTTAGGGTTGAAGTGACACTGACCATCCTTGGTTGGTAGCCCAATCGGCCACCTTGGAAAGAGAGGTGGGGAATCCTGATTTTACATGAACGCTCCAATTTCTTAAGTTGGCAACTAATGCGAACTTCAGATGTTTGGGCCAAACCAGAGAAGAGGTCAGGCCTGGTGTCCAGGCCACTGGGCAGCACTGGGCTCATCCCAGCTGTAAAGGGACCCTAGGCGTCTGGGCAGGTGAAGGGGTTTGGGGTGTGCTTGGGTAATTCTGACATCACCACACTTGTTTGTTTGTTTTTTCCACTGATCACAATTTATTATAATCTGTTGGCAGCATAGATAGATATTAGTTACCAGAACTATGTCTTCATAGAAGTGGACAGTATGTAGCCATTCTATGAGGAACTGTGTGCACTTAATCATCAGCATGATCTTTCAGTTTCTTTCTTTCTTTTTTGTTTTGTTAATGAAAATAAGCTTTATTACATCAAGTAATAAATACATACAAAGATGCAAACACTATTAGTCACTTTCTCCCAGATGTTTGGATGCACTGATGGGAAAGGCAGAACTGAAATCTACATACATCCTTAGGGGAACTTTCAGGGGTCCTTGTCGGTCGAGGTTTGATAAGTTGCTCTTTCTTCTATATTTATAACTTGTGCATTTTAAAGATTGACTTCAAAGTACTAATAGTCATGCAAATGCTTAAGCAAAAAAAAAAGTTACATTGAGCAGAATTTATTCTGTGTGGAGAGTGGGCACTGGCTACTAAAGCACTGCCTCAGGACTCGCTGAAACAAACCCTCAGAGTTGGATCAGCTCAGAAGAGAAACATAAAGAACCATGTGAGTAACAGAAATGTATCCAGAAGAGAAACACCGGTATCTGGGAGGCCAACTATGGTTTGCTGTGATAGGTAACTGACGTGCATGATGTAAATCAATGCTTTAAAAAAACACACAAAACACCCTGGGTAGTTCCTAACTAACATGTAAACCTAATAACTGCAAAAATCTCTTCTCCATCTCAGTGATGGGAGGTTCGGAGCCTGATAAACCACGGGAGGGGCATGAGGAGGAGAAACCAAGCTGTTACCATTTTGAAACCAAGTTTCATCTAAAGGTGGGGGGTTGGCAATGAGCTGTCACTTCTTGGAAGAAGATGGAAAGCCTTTCGCACTGACTTGGAGGCTAGGACCTGGCATTCTGCTCTGTCTCGGCCAAGCACTCCCGAACCAGCCCTCTCGTGTGGATGAGGCCTCCTTTTAGTCTCTCCATCACGCTCTTGCTGCCCGTGTAAGTGGGTCGGATCTCCTTCCCCAGCTCTTTGATGATGGCCAGCAGCTCAGCATATTTGCTCTGGGGCACTTGGCTGTTCCCTGTTCCCTGAGGGTAGCCTAGAGATGGTGGTCTGTAGTCACTCAGCAGCTGGCAGTACTGGGAGGACATCGCCATGTTGGTGGAAGGCGGGTGGACACTCCCAGTGGCATTGAGGGAGACAGCGGGCATGTGTGCGGTCAAGTTTGGTTTGTAAGACATGCCCCCCAGATGGCGGGGCGCAGCGGGCCCGGCCCACG